TTCCAAGTCTGGGAATAGCTCTGCATGGTGATTCTGGTATTGAGAGCGCGATCAGAAGTGAATTCAGAGGTCTGTAGGTCATTTTGGAGTCATTTGGCTAAAGATAGAAATTTGAAGGTTTTGAGAAGTTTGACCGGAAGCGGACTTTTTGATATCGGGGTCGGATTCCGATTCCGGAAGTTAAAGTAGGTTCTTAATGTCAAATATGACTTGTTTGCAAAATTTGGGGTCAATCGGATGGGATTTGATAGGTTTCGACATCGAATGTAGAAGTTTGAAATTCTAAAGTTCATTAAGATTGGATTGGAGGTCGATTCATGATATTAGCGTTGTTTGATATGATTTGAGGCATCAAGCAGGTCTGCATTATGTTATGGGACTGGTTGGTATGATTGGTTGGGGTCCCGGGAGCCTCGTGTGGATTCCGGATGGCTAACGGATCAAATTTGGAATTTGAAGAAGGACTGAAGCAGCTTGTATCTGGTGTAACCGCACCTGCGAGGTTTTGGCCGCAAGTGCGGAGCCGCAGGAGCAGCCTAGGTACCGCAGAAGTGGCTAGGCTAGGCTGGGACCACAGATGAGATCATCTTACTGCAAAAGCGGGACCGCACCTGCGGAAGGAAGGACGCAGATGCGGAAGTTGGGGGCCTAGAGGAGGACCGCAGAAGTGGTTAGTGGGTCGCACCTACGCAACCGCAGAAGCGGTCAAGTGACCGCAGGTGCGAAAATGCTGGAGGCAGTGATGTTTTTTTAAATCGGGGGTTGGGTTCATTTCAACCCCATTTCTTCCATTGGAACCGATTTTAGAGCAACTTGGAGGTGTCATTTTCACTACCAAACTTGAGGTAAGTGGTTTATGTTAGTTTTGAGTTAATTATATGATTGTATATGGATTTGAGCATGAAAACTTGCGGAAAACTTGGGGTTTGAGGGAAAACCTAGAAAATTTGTATTTTTGGATTTTGACCACGATTTTGGTCATGAAATTTAGAGTAAATTATATATTTGAGTTCGTGAGGTTATGAGTAAACCTTATCTTCAAAATTTTTTGAAATCCGGGCACGCGGGCCTGAGGGCGTTATTGTCAACTTTTCGATCGGGGTTAGAAATTGTTATAAATTGGATTATAATGAGTAATTGAACATATATTAATGGGTTTACATAATTATTGGCTAGTTTTGGAGCGTTGTGCGTCAATTTGAGTCTTCGGAAGGACGTGGAATGCTGGTGATGGATCTTCGGAGCAAGGTGAGTCTCCTTTATAACCTTGTAAGAGGGAATTGTCCCCATAGGTGAATTAATTAGATTTGTGCTTCTATTTGTGGGGGATACGTATGCACGAGGTGACGAGAGTCTGTGCGTAGCTACTATTATATTTAAGTCCGGGTAGTCTAGGACCCAAAAGCATGCTATACTTGGAATATTTGTAATCTTATTGACAGTTTGAATTGCTTAAATAACATCGAATTAGTAAATGAATTTCTAAAAAGATTAAACTTCATTCTCTTGAATTGTTAAAAGAGAATTGACTTTTCTTTGGATAATTATTCGCTGATGACTTCTTGATTGACTGTTTGTGTGTGTTTAATTTTAGAACAAGCCGAATGCCTCGGTAGATTTAGATGCATCTATGGTTCGCGTCATTCCATCCTCTAGTAGAGCACAATTTAAATACTTGTTGGATCGGGCCGTATGACCTCGGAATGTTTTGTGCATGCTTGTAATGCTTGCTTGAGATTTATAAACTGATATTGCCTCCCTGGTCTGAGATAAATTGATAAATAATAGATTCTGAATTTGGAGACTTTTTAATATAAAAAGGAATGTTTACTTGTTTCATGACTTACTTGAATTTACTGCCGTTTTTAATAAATTCATGATTATTCGCATTATTAATGTATTACTATTGGACCACTAGTAAATGTCGAAGTCGACCTCTCATCTCTGTTTCTTCGAGATTAGACGGGATACTCACTGGGTATGCGTTGTTTTCGTACTCATACTACACTTGCTGTGCATTTTTGTGCAAGTCCGTGTGTGTCTAGTGGCCTAGTTTGGCGCAGCGGCATGGTTGATATGGAGACTTAGGTAAGCTGCATTTATCGAGACAACCCGCAGCCAGCAGAGTCTCCTTCAGAGTATTGTACTATATTTTTATTTCTGTCCAATTTGTATTACGGACAGTTACTGTAGTTTATTTCATTCCCTAGAAATTTGCTCATGCACTTATGACACCGGGTTCTGGGATGATATGGAGTATTTTTTGCATTAACTTCTTAGCAATTATATTTAATTTGAAATGGTTATCTTTTACTAGTAAAATTGAAGGACAATCATAGCTTTCAAAATTATTAAAACGAGAATTTAATTAAGTATTTTTGGTTGGCTTGCCTGACAGCGGTGTCCGGCGCCATCACGACCCTTAGTGGATTTTGGGTCGTGATACATTAGCTTTCCAAGCCTTGCTTTTCTGAAAAGGTTCTCTGTACTTCTTTTCCAAAATACACGACTCACACTTCTTGTCAGGAAAATCAATAGAAGTCAAACCATCAACCAAATTCTTTCTTGCAAGAAATTTCAAACTCCCAAAATTCAAATGCTCAAGACGTAGATACCACAACCAAGTATCATCACGGTTTATACAACTAAAGCAAGATAAATCATCACTATTGAGATAAAGAGTCCACAAACGGCTATTGTTCATATTAAACTTTGCAATTAGTCCAAATTTATCATCACTGATTGTGCCAATCCTATACTAAAAACGCAAATCATACCCCTTTTCTGATAGTTTTTCCAAGCTCAATAAATTATCTACATTATTTTCAGACATCTTAGCATGTACTTCTTTATTACCAGATTTATTAGACTAACATTCACTTTCATAATGTCCAAATTTACCATAATTATAGCACTGAATCTTATATTTATCACATCTTTGAAAATTTTGATGACTTTGTTGTTCCTTCCAAAAATTGTTATTATTTCTTTGTTGATAAGAAAAATTACCTCTACCACGGCCTCAAAGTTACTTTTACCACAGCCTCTACCTCTGAAATTCTAGCCTCGTTGATTTGTTTTTTTAAGATAACTTGTCTCTTCTTTTGTTTTAGGTTGATTCACCTTTGCTTTTAACGCCTCCTCCACAGTTTCGGGTGTGTCTTGAGACATGAACATCTCATATGTCACCAATTCACCTTCTAAATCATCAAGTGTAAAAGTGTTAAGATCTTTGGTAGCCTCAAGAACCACCTTCTTCATGAGAAATTATATACTCAAGGACCGCAATATTTTTTCAACGACTTTAACTTCATCTGATACTTCTCTATTGGTCCTCATGCCGTTGATAATATTAGTAATTCTTGTAATGAATTCTTTAACGGACTTTGTTGATTTCATTAGGGTCAACTCATACTGTCTCCTTAGCTCTTGCAATTTGACTTTCTTTACTTCGGCGGAACCTCGATGTAAATTCATCAAGATTGTCCAAGTTTCCTTTGTTGATTTTGCATGCGAAATGTTAGATACACGCAATTCAACCTTGTCGGTGAGATAGTAACATGCCTTATAATCCAATTGTCTATTTTTCTTTAATTGCTTAGCTGCATCACTTGTCAATGTTGTACCTTCTGGGGTTCCTCAAATCATGTTTCAATAATGGACCATAATCCAACAACATTGAAAAACATTTCATATATTGATGTCAGTCTTCAAATTATTTTTGTCATCAAACTTGAAAACTTGGCAATCACGTAAATATAGAATATTCATAATTTTTTTTAGGATCTCATCGACTCTAATAGAATCTCGTATATGCCCCTATGTTTCCAAGATAGTTTCCACTAATGGTTCTTTTGAACTGTGGGAAAAATGAAAAAGAATTCTTGCAACACAACTCCTGCGTTTCACCACGTGAAAGTCATTTCAAGAAAATGTTTGAGGTGTGCATTTCTTTCAATGCAAAATAGGAAAAATAGAACTACATACATATAATTTTGAATTTATCATTTTCAGAACTAGTGAATTTTCTTGTATTCCGTACCTATATTTTTATGACAATGTTTTACTAGATAGTAGTATAAAGTTTAAAATGTTAATATATTTTACATACCAATTTGATAAGGAAAAACTTGTACACGATAGGAAAATATTCATTGTTTACTTTTTTTAGTCATATACATAAATATATATATTATTTATACACGATTATACACATATAATACATAACTTATACATATATTATATCTTCACATGCTATTTTTAATTTAAATGATTGGGTGGATAATTATTTGGATTAATTCTTCTAAAATAAAAGCATGTCACGTACTCATGTAACAAGCATAGTTGATGTAACAAGCATTATTTAGGATTTTAACTTAATCAGGGAGTTAACAATAGAGTAAGTATTGTTTTTGGGAAAATAATATTGTTGGGTCACTCTCAATATAATAGCTGAAAAATATATATTTTTCTTATATATATATATTATATTATATATTTTTTCGGCTATTAAATATAAATTTTTTTGCACGTGCTAAAACGAAAAAAAAAAAACCTTTCTTTTGTTTGTACATTTACATTAACCTGGGAATCTAGATTCTAGAAGACCGGTCCATTCAGGAAGTGGTTAACAGCTGGTGCAAGTAGCTACAGAATTAAATGTGTTTGCATGTGCACAAAAGTGAATAGGACAAAACATTATTACTGATTATGCCCTTATATTTCTAGATTATGTCCACAAATGGTCCGTCTGAGACTTTGCTACACTTCTACAAAGGAAAAAAGAATTGTAGCTACACCTACACGGCTCGGTGTGTCACTCACTTCACCACGTGAAATTCTTTCCAGAAAGAAACTTGAGATGTGAGTTCTGTTTACAATTAATAACTAGCACAAAGCTTTTCATTCTCAAACATAATGGAGAATCTGATATTGTATTAGTAACATACAAAACTAACCACAAAGGGTAATTCAGAATACAACATTACGATTCAAAAAACTCAAACAAAAGCCAGTGTCTCAACATGTGTATAGGCATCAAAGCAATCATACCGTGCACCACCAATAAAAAGTCTGAAATAATCAGGCTTTATATCAGCTAGCTCTTTGACACTCCCATTCTGCATTTCATACAAAATAATTTTCCCCGGAATTGAAATCAAGAGTCTTGCATTATTTTCCTCATCTGCTAGAAAACAGAGCACAGTAAATGCATATGGAAAGTTATAATCTTCAGGAGGATACATTTCTTGATTCACCATAGCTGGATACAAAATGGTCAAAAATTCCAAGTTAACTCGATACTTCACAAACCACTGAGAATAATCACTCTTCAACTCCAAAACATCAAACTCAATATCTTGAGGCTTATGAATCTCAATAAGATGCAAATGCCCACCCGATTCCCCAAAATACTCAATATTCCTGTACCACTGACCTTCAGGAATTTGAGTACTAGGCATTGATTTAAATTCAATGCTATCAGTTTCAAAACACAAAAACGGGCCTGTTTGACTAAACCAGTGTATAGCCCCTTTCCAGTAAACTCCACGGTAGCAACATAATTCCACATTACCATTACAGTACTCAGTTGAATGCCTCCAGACCCCACAAGCTGATGAATACACTGAGAAACGAAGTTGATTTTCAGATACAGACAACCAAACACAAACAACATCGTAATCACCAGATCTTTTGGGGTCAAATGCTAAGTTCATACTTTTCACTACCATTCCGTCTGGCACTGGAATAAACCTATGATGACCTGTAGTAAGATTATAAACGTAAAATTCGGTTTTTGCATCATCTGATTTAAAACCGAGACATACAAGTCCATTACAAGAGCTGATATTACTCAGAACTTTGCCATCACGTGCATCGGATAAACGGTCGTAAATCCGGCCCATTGCAGCTAGGCGTTCTTCGTGGAGACTAAGGAAATCATAATTCGGGTGTCGGCACAAGAAAACACCGACGGTGGAAGCAGAGGAGGTAGCGTTTCTACGGGTATGGAGGCGGCGGAAATAGGTACTGGAAATAAGGGAAAGCCAGTGTTTCGAGACGCATTGGAAACGAAGTAGAGTTTTTGGGGGTAAGCGTAGGAGTATTTCAGTTAACAGACCTTCACTGCCGGCGATTTGCTCCGATGAAGGCAAGATTTCGGAGGAAATCGGCAAGTGCTGCTGCTTTAGCTGTTGGTTGTAACTTCGGGAGTGGGTAAGTGTCAGTTTGATCGGAGCACTAGCACCGCCGTACGATGTACAGTCGCCGGAAACCATGGTCGGATTTTTTTTCTTCCGAAACTCAATGAATTGAAGTGTATTTGGACACTCTATATCAAGACCAAGTGACCAACAGTCGGTCTTTGTCCCCACAACTTGACAGAGAGAGGGGAAGACTTGTTAGATAGAGTTAATAATCACATGGGGCAACTTTATTTGTGACCATAGGAATATTTTATTAAGTTTACTATTGGATAGAGTTAATAATCTCATGGGCCAACTTTATTTGTGAACGTAAGTTAGCCACAAACTACACGTGTTTTTGCTGATTTGGTCAATTTCCACAAAGAACCTACAATTCGATAATGTCTCGATCTTCTAGTTTTGGCATAGGGCTGCATAAGCCTCAACGGTACACATTTTTTTTAAAACTAATTTGAGTACATGCACGTATCAATTATTAAAATTTATATACAAATAAAGAACGAATTATGCCAAAAAATAATCATATAACATTAAATAAATTTAACAGTCATTTAAATAACAAACAATAAATATTATTATATGGATATAAGAATAGTATTAATAATTATAAGTATTTCATTATCTGAGATTATAATATCTTATGTTGTTGAAAACCTAGAATCAAGGCCTCTGGCTCACTACCTTGGTCTCCTCGGGAAATTGAATCTCACTCGATATAATAGTGTGCTTTTTGTACCTAGAAACTATTGTAACCCTTAATAAGCAAATTTCTTGAAAATGTCAGCAATGCTTTATTCTTGTAATAAGAAAAAGGCTGGAGTTAGTCAATTTTTTTGAACATTGAAAATCCAGGTGAATAATAAAGTGAACAATGGATTTTTTTTTCCAGAAAGACTTATTCAATATTCGAGATTGTGAATGCAACTCTCCGTTATGATTCTAATAAGGAGAATTAAAGAATTGAGAAGAAAAGTAAGAAGTGCACCTGCTTTCGAGTCTTTTATACTTTTGTTAGATGCTTCATAGTCTAGTATGGGAATTGGGCAAGAATTTTAAATCTGTATTTTGTGATGTTATTTGTTCGCGATTAATTTTCAGATTGTTTCGATATTTTGTTTAACTTATTAAATGCTTCGAATTAATGGTTAAGGTGTGAACATTAGGTTCGTCTGGCGGGTGGTGTGTTGGATACCAATCATGTCTAAGGGATTGATTATGTCACGAACCAAAAATCCCTCCAAAGAAGTCGTGATGACACCTAATCTCTAAATTAGGTAAACCTAACATTTACTGTAATAATATGGGTATTTACTAACTTTAAATTAAATTACTCTGAACAAAATACAATTCCCAAAACCGGTAGTACAAGTCACAAGCCTTTCTAGGAGTAGTTATACAAAATAAATACATCACTACTCCGAAACAAAGCGAACAAATGGAAATAAGTACAATTGAAGTGACTCTGAGGACTGCGAACGCTGCAGCAAGTTTACCTTGAGTCTCCACCGCAACGAATAACTACTATCAATCAAATACCTGGATCTGTACACAAAAATGTACAGAAGTGTAGTATCAGCACAACCGACCCCATGTGCTGGTAAGTGTCTAGCCTAACCTCCGCGAAGTAGTGACGAGGCTAGGACCAGACTACCAAATAAACATGTGCAAGATAGCGTACAAAATAATAGGAAGCAGATAACAATGATGGCAACAATGATCAACCGGTGATATAAATAGCAGGCAAAAAGAACAACACAAATGTTTCTCAACAAAAAAAAAATACAAGTGTAATCAATTAATCAAGTCCTTCAAATATAAATCTTTCGCCTATAAATACTTCAAGTAATAATCTCTAAGATAATATTCTTTTCAATAAATATATACTTCCTTCAAAAAAATAGCTTTCAAATAAACACCTTCCGCATATAATTCTTTCGAGTAAAGGTCACCTTGTGACACCTCATTTCATAATCATAAATAATATAGGTCTCATTTCACTTTCAAAATTTTACGGCACCTCGTGCTCATATTTATAACACAACCGCACGGACAACTCACGTGTCATTAAATAAAACCATAATATTTTCTCCAGCACCTTGTGCCCGCATATTTCTGTCTCACATTGCACAACAATATACTCATATTACTCAGTTCATATGTTCCATAATCCAATACAATAAAAAAAAGTTCAAGGAGCCTCATTTACTTAATATAAAGTAGAGTACAACTTTCAACCCAATTAGGAAATCAACAAGAAATGATGAAGTTATTTTTAGAAATCATTTGAATAAAGAAAATACCCTTTTTAATTAAAGTACAATTGTTGAAAATTTAAGTATTGAAAGCTTTATGTAGATGCGGCGAGGTATTGAAAACAATATGGCTTACAACACAAGGGATCACAACACAGTAAAGGGATCTAAACAGTTAATACACTTGAAATGTTAACAACAAATAAACACAACAAACAGAAAGTGCACGGCATCACCCTTCGTGCTTTTACTTTCGTTCTCACCATGCACGGCATCACCCTTCGTACTTTACACTCTTCCTCAGCATGCACGGCATCACCCTTCGTGCTTTACACTTTTCCTCACCCAAGCAACATTCACAAAGCAATCCAGGCAAGGAAGTCAATAATATCATGTATTAACATGAAACCAATAAAGAATATAAGGAAAACCATAATTCAATTATCAACAAGAATCAGGAAAATCAAGGACAAATGTACGGCATTACCCTTCGTGCTTTTACTCTCGTCCTCACCATAAGAATCAATATAAACTGCACGGCATCACCCTTCGTGTTTTTACTCTCATCATCACCATAAAATCAATATAATTGGCACGGAATTGTACATCGTGCGACACGGCATCACCCTTCGTGTTTTATCACTCTTTCATCACCATATGAATAATGTAAATGTGCACGACATCACCCTTCGTGCTTTATCACTCTTCCTCACCCAAGCAACAATCACAAAGTAATTTGGGCAAGGAAAAATGAAAAATATCACAATAAAACCCCGGCAAGGGAAACAATATCATGAATAATAACGTCCCGGCAAGGGAGAAAATATCAAAGCAACAACATCCCGGCAAGGAAGATAATATCATCAACCTCTTCTCTTTTTCACATTTACTTCACAACTCGATTCACAATTNAAATATCAAAGCAACAACATCCCGGCAAGGAAGATAATATCATCAACCTCTTCTCTTTTTCACATTTACTTCACAACTCGATTCACAAT